TTTTAACGACCACACTTTCCCATCCTCATCACTTTGTAATTTTCTAGCATTCCTTAGTACTTCTTCCATCTGTTTGGCACCGTTTAGGGTGATCCTCAAAGGTCGATCTTTCCCTTTTATGTATCTGACTATTCTCATGTAGTCGCACACATTCTCTATGGTAGTAAGACCTTCCACGAGGCCAACAATTTTATCTACTACTTTCTCTTCTTCTACAGTTCTTTCTGACCTAGATGTTATCTCTTTTTCTTTGCAACCAAAGATTATCAGGGACTTACTCCGATCAACTGTGTTTTGCACCAACTTCGGGTAAGATGCCAATTCCTTTCTCACTTCCAGCCTAATGTTTGTTTTATCTTGATTGCTGCAGTGTTTGGCTTCCTTTACTGCTTCTTCAACTTTTTCCTTCTCCTTGGCCACTTGTTCATAGGTGAGTTTCATATCTTTCTTGTACTGTTCTATTCCCTGTGTAACTTCCTCCATCTGTGCTGACAAAAACTGTTTCTCCTGTTGAATTTCCTTACCGAACCTATTGTAGACATTTATGTTTAAATTTCCATTAACTTCTTCCAAAGCTACTTTTAAGCATTTATTTTCTTCTTCCATGGCTTTGCAATTTGTTTTAAATTGATTCTTATCCTTGCGCAAGTCTTTCACTAAACCCTCAAGACATAAAACTTTGCTATTCAAATGGTCATTACTTTCTTTCAATTTACTAATTATTTCTACATGAGAGTTCACTATAGTATCTAATTTTACCAACTTGTTGTATAGGCTGGTTATATCAATGCTTTCTTCATTGAATCCCACAAAATCAAGCTCTGTTTTGTTTTTCCTTTGGCCGGTGGCCATCTTGAGTGTTCTTCTCTGCACTGGAAACACTAGGGCAACTTTTTCTCATCCAATTTTTCACTTCCCTTGGCACATTCCTGTTATCTCACCTATTTTTCAAAAGCATTATACCTTTGTTCTCTGGGACACCACTCACTATCATCAACCTGTACTACAATACTTAGGATTATTGAAATATGCTGGAGCTCCTCTGAAGCAAGTGTGTGTGCACATGTGTGTGTGCATAACGCACGTGTAATTACCTAAGTGTAGTTAGAAGATGAGAGCTACGCTCGTGGTGTCCCGTCTTCCCAAGCACTTTTTGTCATATTACGCCTTGAAACTACTGATGGTCTTGTTTCAAAGTATTGTATGACAAAGAGTGCTGGGAAGACGGGACACCACGAGCGTAGCTCTCATCCTCTAACTACACTTGGGTAATTACACTTAGGTAATTACACGTGCGTATGCACACACACATGTGCACACACACTTGCTTCAGAGGAGCTCCAGCATATTTCAACAATCTTAAGTATTGTAGTACAGGTTGATGATAGTGAGTGTGTGTAACATACCTTGTGTGTATGTGTATATGTATAGGTATGTGTATGTGTATATACATAATGTGTGTGTATATATGTGTGTATACTTTTTCTTTCGGAAAGGGCTCTGTTCCCGTCTCTGTTAGACGAGATGCTGGGGGTCAGCTTCCTCTGTTGGCTCTCGCTTGGTCTCGCAGTTAGTGGAGCGCTTTTGGTTGTCTTCCGGCCTCTGGTGGCGGCGGTGGACGGCTTCTCCCCCTTTGGGGGGTTCAGGGCTGGCAGGGTGGGCTTCTTCCCCTGCGCTTCATCATGTCATCTTAGTGGGTGCGTTGGACGTGGTCGTTCTGCCCCGTCCTTCTGGGGTTCCCGTCTGCTCTATGTAGACATGGGCCTGTTGAATCTGTGGTTCTTCTGGACTTCTACAGTCTGTGCCCTGGATTCTATGCCCTCATCGGAGGATTGTTGTCTCCTGTCCGGCTTCTGTTGGGGCCGGGTGCCTGGAAGGTGGCCCTGGATCTCTAGGTCAATTCTTGGCATGTTCCTCTCCACTTTTCCGGGACTGGCACAGTTGGTGGTAGGGCTACAGGCCCCACCACCACCGTTTTTGTTGCCTTCCCTATTTTGTAATTGGCACTAGGTGTATTTACTCATCTTTACCGGATCTTGGTGCCCTGTCCGAGTCTGCTTGGGATTCGGTGTCTGGCCTACCTCAAAGACTGGCTGGTGTGGGCTCCCAGACGGTTCACTTGTCTGCTTGCCAGTTGTGTGGTTCTTTCCAGATCGCCGGGTTTGCTTTCCTGGTGATCTGGAGGCCGTTCCATCTGTTTCCGTCCTGGGTTCGGACCTGGCTGGGCTTTGATTAGAGCTATTGGGGCACTCCTAGTCTTTCCCTCCAGAAGTGTTGCTGCGGCTGTGGTCCCGCCATCGGCTGTTCATGAGGGGGTCCCGGGTTGCTCGGCAGTTGCTTGAGCAGTTGTGCGGGAGTCTGAACTTCGACGTGCTGGTCTGCCCGCTGGGTCGGGTTTGGCTTCGGCGTCTGTTTGGTTCCTTCAGAGACTCCCTTTCCGCCTCTCTTGCAATCGTTGGGTTCGTTCCTCCGGGGATCTTGTGTTGGTGCTGTGTCACCAGCTTCCTCTTTGGGATTTTCGGGGTTCCGTGCCTTGGCACCTCCTCGAGCCTTCGCTCGATGTGTTCACGGACGGGTCATCTCTCGGCTGGGGCTTTGTGACCAGTGCTCACCAGGTCGGCCGGGGATGGTGGGATCTGTCCGTCCGTCGGGCTCACAGCACGGTTCGGGAGTTCGTGGTTGTCTGGTTTGCGCTTCGGAGGGGTTTGGGTCACTCGGCGCTCTACCATTCAGCTCTATTCGGACTGTTCTCTGGCGGTTCTTTGCCGAAACTACAGGGTTTTTCTTAGGTGTTTGACCTTTGGTGTTGGTCTCTTAGTGTGGCTCGTTTGCTGGATTCTCGGGGTTTGGCTAACCGTGAGGTTCATGTCTGGGGTGTGTCCTGCGTCCTGGTGGACAGCTGTCTCGGTTCATTCCTCTGTTCGCGGATTAGCCAGTCATCGCCAACTCGTTTCGTTGGCTCTGCTGGACGTATGGACTCCTGGCCATGGACGTCTTCAAGTTGGTGTGGTCTAGGCATCGCCCATTCTATGTGGCACCCTTACCTGCCTACGAGGCGTTCACGGTGGATGCATTTCGGCAGGACTGGTTGAGGTGGGGGTATCTGGTCCTCTTCTCCCGGTCCAGCTGTTGCTTCAGGTTCTGTCTCGGTTGGAGCCCATTCCCACGAGAGTAGTCCTTATGGTCCCTTGGTGGTCGGCCCAGCTTTATTTTCAGACGCTGCTTGATAGGTGTCCGAACCCTGGGCGCTTTCCCGCGGCTCCGCCTCTTTTGGCAGGTCGGACTGGTCCTGTACGTGACTGGTTTGGCCTTCTCCTCGGCTTCGTGTCTGTGACGCAGGTATCACCATCTCTGTGGTGATCAGGTGGCTTTGTTGACGGTGTCCCACCTGCGAGCTTCATCTCGGCGACAGTATGACGTACCTGGTGTTTCTATGCACCTTTTTTCTTGCTCTTTGTAGGTTGTCTTCTCTTTCGCATTAGGTTGTCTTGTCCTTTCTTGGGTTTTCAGGACTACAGTTAATTGATGTTTCTTACTGTTGCTTCGTTTTGTGCGGCACTGGCGGAGCCGCTCCGGCTTGCGTTCGGGGTGGACGTCATATCTGCCCCGTTTCGTACACTTTCTCGTGTTTCGATTCACCTCCGGCCTGCTCAAGCGTCGCTTGAGCCGTCCTAGTCCTTGATCAGGGTGCCTTCTTATCTTCTCCTCAGTTTGTGGTAGCCCCTTCGGTTCAGGTTTCTGCTCTTTGGTACTGGTGGTAGATTTGTACGTATGCAGCCCTTCTGGTGACGGTTGAGACGGCTGCTTTCCGGAGCGGTTCTTGGGTTATTGATGGTTGATTGGTTCGGCCAGGGTGAATCCTGTGTTGTCCGGTTGCGCTTTTTGCTGTTACCTGTGTACCGTGTCTGGGGATGTGCTTTGGGTTGATCCGGTTCCCCTCGTTCCGTTTCAGGGCTCAGGTCTCCCAGGTCGTCCGCAGAGTTTTTAAGTCTTAAAGCCTGCGGTCTGTCCTTGCACCTGTGCTGTTCGGACGTTTGCAGCTTTTGCTGCTGTGTTGGTGACGTCTAGGGCTCATTTCGGGCGCAGGGATTTGAGGGGTGCACAGGTTCTTGGCCGCCCATTCTTTATGCGCATCTGCTCCTGTGCGTTCTTGTTGCCTTGGGTCGCAGGTTGCAGCCTGTTGTCTCAGCTTCGCGTTGCGGAGTTTGTGGCGGCCGCCTCTCAGGTCAGCTATTTCTTTTATTCTCTTTGGGTATGAAGCTCCAGGGTGTCGTAGGGGCTCTCCACAGAAAACCAGCGTTGAATGTAATGAAATGCCATTTTCTGGGTGAGACCCGGAGGCTCCCCGGCAACCCTCCCTCCCTCCGGTCGGCGGTTTTTCGCGTGTTTTGACATCCAGCCTCAGAACTGATGGGTGGATAGCCGGCATGGGAGGTCTGGGGCTCCCCCTTCCCCCTCCCGGGGAGGGGGGGAGCTGCACAGACAGCGGCGTGGTGACGTATGACGTCATACTAGTTTCCTTGTTTCCTGTTGAAGAGTTCTATCCACTAGTTCGGCTTTAGGTATCAATTTTCACCAGAATAGGGGTTTGTTTTGGAATGCTTACCTTTCTGGATGCTTGACTCGGTCGATGGCAGACATAGAATGCTTCCTACCACACGGGGGTTTCTATAGGCCATTGCTTCCCTTGCCTCTCTGAGGGGGGCCAGGTTCTGGCCGTGGTCCCCGGTAGGCCCTAGAACTCCATACACATGACTGATGCCAAAGTCTGACATTAGCATATCAGCCGGTAAAGCTCCGGGGAGCCTCCGGGTCTCACCCAGAAAATGGCATTTCATTACATTCAACGCTGGTTTTTTACAAATGCTACTTTGTGCAAGAGCTGGTGAACTGGGGCATTTCTAATAGCTGTCTTCTCTAGGTTCATACCTTCCCTGAACACAAAATTGAGAAATGGGGTGATGATGTATGTTTTGATATTGATGTTTTCATGTTGCTAGGCGTGTAGAGTGGGAAATTGGAGGAGAGGGAGAAGAGGAGACAGTAACCCAAAAATACCAACGTTTGCAATGTGAAGTCAACCAACTCGTAGAGGAAATACAAGCTATCAAGGTAAGCTATTTATTAACAGTAAAGTATTACTTTGATTGAAGTTATGAAATAATTTCATATTACTGAAGTAGTTGAACTTGGCCAGACAACTAATTGATGTATACAATTCATAATTAAGTTTATTATGGTCCTTTTGTTATGAATAATATACTGAAAATGATACTGGAGAAAACCAGACTGGACTCTTATTTTGGTCCAGTAGCACTCGATCTCTGTGACTTGTGTGTAGTGCACACAGTTACCATCACTCTGTGTGATGAGAGGTGACACCCCTTGTGTCAACACTTGCATCAGAGGAGCTCCAGGGTATTTCAAAGTTCCTAAGTATTGTAGAACAGGTTGATGATAGTGAGTGGTGTCCCAAGGAACATAAAGGTGTAGTGCTTTTGATAAGTAGGTGAGATAACACGAATGTGCCAAGAGAAGTGAACAAATTGGATGAGAAAAAGTTGCCCTAGAGTTAATAGTGCAGGCGATGACATTCAAGATGGCCACTGGCAAGAAGAAAAAATAAAACGGCTATATTTTGGGGGTTTCAATGAAGAAGGCATTGTTATAAGCAGTCTACACAACAAGTTGGTAAAATTAGATATTATAATGAACTCTCAGGTAGAAATAATCAGCAAATTAAAAGAAAGTAATGATCACCTGAGTAGCAAAGTATTAGGTTTAGAGGGGTTAGTGAAAGACTTGTGCAAGGACAAGAATCAGTTGGAAACAAATTGCAAAGCCATAAAGCCATGGAAAGCAATTAAACAGAAAAACTGATTTTGTCAGTACAGGCGGAGGAAGTTACACAGGGAATAGAACAGTGCAAGAAGGATATTCATCTCGCCTATGCACAAGTGGCCAAGGAGAAGGAAAAAATAGAAGAAGCAGTAAAGGAAGCCAAACACTGCAGCAACCAGGATAAAACAAACATTAGGCTGGAAGTCTGAAAGGAACTGGCATCAGATCCTAAATTGGTTCAAAACACAGTTGATTGAAGTAAGTCCCTGATAATTTCTGGGGGAAGCCCCTTCGGCTCCTGGGATGTTGGGATGTGTGTGTGATGCAGCTTCATGTGCAGGTTTCTTCCCTTTCGACTGCATTAGTCACGGAGGATTTGTGTACGCGTGGCCTGCTGGCTTCAGCCCTATGTTTCTTCTCTCTCCTTGAGCTGTCCTCGGATTGACTTGAGGTGGATGTGGAGGAGCTTGGGGTAGCCTCTGGGTCTAGTGCGTTGCCCTCGGCGCCAAGTGCATCGTCTGCATTGTTGAAGCTGTTTGTGTCGCTCCTGAGGGATGCGTTCTAGCCTTTTTTTTTTTTTGCTTCTTGACTCGCATGTAGACAGGCTGTGCTCACTTCTTCCTTGGAATCTGCTTGGGCCCAAGCTCTTAGATTGTCTTTGCCCTTTTGTCCGTTGCTATTTGCCGAGTCTGCGCTTGTGCAGTATCTGCAGGCATTTTCAGCTAGTTGCCATCCAGTTAAGTTTGTTATTCCTCTGGGGGTTCGTTTGGGGCCTTCCCAGTAGGGTCATGCCAGGGCTCGGGGGTTCTTCCCGTTGTGGTAAGCCAGTGATATCAGATTCGGTGCCATCTGTTTGTATTCAACACAGGGATCGCCCTGTGCACTATTTAGGTGCTCGTAAGGTGCATCGATTCTTTTGCGGGTTGTTTCTTTGACAAGGTGGTTGAGGGGAGGAAAGCTCTGTTTGCTTGCACCTAGTCCCACGATTTATGGGCCTTTCGGGTTGTTTCGTGTGGCTTGCAGTGGTGTTGGGTGGCTCCTCCTCCTTCGAGGGGTTCGTAGCTGGCGGGGCAGGCCTCTTCTGTGCTCTGTCAGAATATCTCGGAGTGGGTTTGCTTGGCATCGTCAAAATGACCTCATCCCTCAGGTGGGTTTCCCACCCGTTTCCTGTCCTGAAACGGGACTGCGCGGACCTCTGGTTCATTCTGGACTTGTCCCGTCTGAACCCATGGGTTTATGGCCCCCTCCTTTCGGATGACTACTCTGTCCCAGGTCTGTTTTCTGTTGGAGCTTGGATGGTTTCCATGGACCTCAAGGACGTGTATTGACATGTCCCGATTCATCCGAGGTTTAGGGACTGGTTCGGTTTTGTTGTGGGGCATCAAGGTTACCGCCTTTTAAGCCGAATTGAAGGCAACGGTTATTGTTGTCTTCCATTCGGCTTGAATTTGGCGCCTTGCGTTTTCACACAACTTACTCGGGTTGTGGTGGCTTGCCTGCATCTGTTAGGTGTTTAGGTTCTGGTCTACCTCAACGACTGGTTGGTTTTGGGCTCCCAGCCAGTCCGCATGTCTGCTCGCCTGAGATTTGGTTATTTCCTAGCTTGCCGGGTTCAGGTTCTTGGTTAACTGGCGGAAGTCCCACCTGGTTCCCCTCTAAGTTTCGGTTTTGGCTGGGTCTTGTATGGGACACTCGAACCGCTTCCTTGTCTCTTTCTCCGGCGACTCTGCTTCACCTGAGTTTCCACCTTCGTCTGTTCCTGAGGGGCTTCTGGTTCACAAGGCGGTTGCTCAAGGATTTGTGCGGGAGCCTGAAATTTACCATGATGGTCTACCCGCTGGGTCAGGTGTGGCTTCGCCGGCTGTTCTGTTTCCTTCGAGAACATCTCTTCCTCCTCTCTTGTGACTGCTGAGTTCGGCCTCCGGGGGCTTTGTGTCAGTGGCCGTGTCACCGGCTTCCTCTTCAGGGTTTTCAGGGTTCATTGCCTTGGCACCTACCCTTGCCTTCGCTTGATGTGTTCTCGAACATGTTGTCTCTTGGCTGGGGCTTTGTGACCAGTGCTCACCAAACCGGCCAGGGACAGTGGGGTCCGTCCTTCCGTCAGGCTCACAGCACAGTGCAGGAGTTGGCTCTTTGGGGCTGGTTGCTTCGGGTGACTCATCTGTTGAGTTCTAGGGGTTTAGCTCTCCTGGCAGTTAATGTTCTGGGAGGGGGGTGTCCAGTGTCTTGGCGGATGGCCTGTCCTGCTTCTTTCCCCTTTCCACAGAGTGGACAGTCAATGCTGACTTGTTCAATTGGTTCTGCCGGACATTTGGGCCTCCAGAAGTGGACCTCTTGGCGTAGATGTGGTCAAGGCGTCTTCCAGCATATGTGGCGCCCTTCCCGACTGCGAGGTCATCTGGGTTGATGCCTTCAGGCAGGACTGGGCGAGGTGGGGTTACCTGTACCTCTCTCCCCCTGGTTCAGCTGTTGCTCCAGGTCCTAGCTTGCTTGGAGACCAGGGGAGAGTTGTCCTTCTGGCTCCTTGGTGGCCGGCCCAGTCTTGGTTTCAGGCGCTGCTTGCTTGTCCAAACCCGAGGGTCTTCCCGTGGCTCCGCCTCTTTCAGCAGATGGCTTCTTTTGCTCCATTCCGCAAGCTGTCTCGTGTGTTGTTTCACCTCCGGCCTGCTCATACGCTGCCTAGGCCGTCCTGGTCTTTGGACTGGGTGCTCTCTTTTTTTCTCTTTTCGTCGTTTTTTGTGGCCCCTTTGGTTGAGGATTGTTTTTCTAAGGCTCTTTACCTGTTGGCATTGGCCTCTAGGGGTCTGGTTGGGGAGCTTCATGCTCTCCTCCAGCGCAGGGATTTCTTCCATTTTGGTTATCTATCTTGAGGTTATCTTGAGATGATTTCGGGGCTTTTTCTAGTGTCCCCGCGGCCCGGTCCTCGACCAGGCCTCCACCCCTAGGAAGCAGCCCGTGACAGCTGACTAACTCCCAGGTACCTTTTTACTGTCCTAGTAGTAGGTTTGTTCGGCTGCAGCCGTCTCTTTCTTTTCTGGCAAAGAATGAGTGTTTTACTTTCCGGAGGGGTCCTTGGGATATTGATGCTTGGTTGGTCAGGCTGGGGATGCCTCAGGTGTTGTGTCCGGTTACGGCTCTCCGCCGTTATTTGCGCGCCACGGCTCTGGTGGCCGGGGATTCGCATTGGCTTGACCCAGTTTCCCCTTCTTTCCTGTTCCCGGGCATGAATCTTCCAGGTCGTCTGCAGGGTTATTAAGTCTATCCAGCCTGCGGTCTTTCCTCTTGCCCACGACGTTCGTAAGTGCTGCTTTGGTTGCCATCTTTGGCAGCATGTCTTGGTTTGACATTTGGGCATGGGGTTTATGGAGGTCGAACAGGGTCCTGGCTGCTCTCTACTTTGTCAATGTCCCCGGACTTCGTAGGGCCTGCATTGCACCTTGTAGGGCCCTCCCTCCCAGTGAGGGGGGAGGCCGCTGTCTGCGTTGCTGTGCAGACAGCGGCGTGGCAATGTGATGGTGTCATGCTAGTTGGTAGTTTTCATTTTGGGAGTTCTGTCCGCTTGTTCAGCTTTCGGTAGCGATCTTTTCAGCAGAATAGGTTTTGGTGCGCCTTCCTTTCTAGGTGCCAGACCCAGTTGATGGCACATAGAATGCTCCAACCACATGAAGGGGGGGTTTCTATAGGCCATTGCTCCTCATGCCTCTCTAAGGGGGGCCTGGTTCTGGCTCATGGTCCCCGGTAGGCAAGAACTCTATGCAGGTTGACTGATGTCAGAAAGCTAATATATACATATCACCCTGGATAGCTCCGGGGAGCCAACATCGCTCCGTTTTCTGGTCTCGTCCAGAAAATGGCGTTTCATTACATTCAATGCTGGTTTTCTGGAGGGGAGCCCCTTCGGTTCCCCGAGCTTATCCAGGCTGATATGCTAATGTCAGACTTTGGCATCAGTCATGTGTATGGAGTTCTGTGGGCCTACCGGGGACCACGAGCCAGAACCTGGTCCCCTCAGAGAGGCATGGGGAGCAATGGCTTATAGAAACCCCCGTGTAGTTAGAAGCATTCTATGTCTACCATCAACCGGGTCAGGCACCCAGAAAGGTAAGCGTCCCAAAACAAACCCTTATTCTGGTGAAAATTGCTACCAAAAGCCAAACAAGTGGATAGACCTCCCCCCCCCCAAAAAAAAAAAACGAGCAAACGAGCATGACATCACATGTCATCGTGCCACTGTCTGCTCAGCTCCCCCCTCCCCGGGAGGGGGAAGGGGG